ACCATCAGCTCTCTTCACCACATTTGCTTACACACATGTTTGTCTTCAGTGATTGTGTCAGTAAAGCGGGCACCCACTAATATGATTTTCAGTTCTTTGATGTCTGATAACTGATCCTCCCAATGGTTTTTATGCTTGAACCCATTGTTGCAGCCAATGTGTCAATCCATCTCATCAAGGGCCTTCCTCTTTTTCTCTACCCCTCATTTTAGCATAATGTCCTTCTCCAGGGACTGGTCTTTCCTGATAATGTGTCCAAAGTAGGTGAGATGAACTCTTCCCATCCTTGCCACTAAGAACCATTTTAGCTGTACTTCTTCTAATATAAGCTTGTTTATTCTCTTGGCCATCTAAGTGAAAGATTGATGTTTCATTTATCATCTGACCAGAAGACACCTCTTAGATCATCAAGCAATAGTGGCATTTGGGGATGAGTATATAAAAATCAAATTTTTAAATCACTGTTATCAAGTTGATGCTGACTCATAATGACCCTACAGGACAGGGGAATGCTACCCTTCTGAGTTTCTGAGACTGCAGGAATAGAAAGCCCCATCTTACTCCCATGGAACAGCTGATGCTTCTGAATTACTGACATTGCAGTTAGCAGCCCAAAGCCTAAGCACTATGCTGTCAGAAATCCTTGGGATGAGTATTAGTTCAGAGCTAATGTTCAATTTTTAAAAACTAGTTTGTTTGTTTGTTTGTTTGTTTGTTTGTTTGTTTGTGTAACCCAGTTTTCTACACAAAGGGCTACTTTGAAAATGAATATAGTGTCTTGCTGATCTTGGGTTTATCATTCACTGTGCCCTGGTGGTGTAGTGGTTATGCATTGGGCTATGATCTTCACGGCTCCTCCATAAATTCCCAGATGTAAGCCAGTTTACAGACCCTTAATCCCTTAAGGAGAAGTGGCCAGGTCCTCTTAAGAGAAACCCACTGCACTTCCAAACATGTATATCAATCTTTCCCAAAGTCTTCCTCAAAGATATGGATGCCCTTTTACAAAAGTGCCTGTTCATTGAGGGAAGACATGATCAGCATTGCTCTGCTGGTTATTGGGGAGAATGATAGAAACCCAAAGTGGTACATGTCAACGAAGGAGATGGGCAAGCCAATAATAGTCATGGCAGCTGGGGAAGCAGGATGCAGGCATAGAAATTACTTAACCAGCCTTCCCACCTCTTTCTTTCTAGGGATGCTCTTAGGAATGCACACCTCTGACTGCTGTTGCTAGAGGCCATCGAGGCAACTCCATCCCATAGTAACCCTATGCACAACAGAACAAAACAGTGCCCAGTCCTGTGGCATCCTCACAATTATTCCTATCCTTGAGTCCAAGACTTTGGAATGGGAGAGAAAAACATGAAGCTAGTTGTACTTCATGAGAAATCTCATCAAAGGATTACCTGGGCAGAGAAGGGTTTTAACAATCAAGTGCATAGAATGAAACGTTCTTTGGAGACCAGTCATCCTCTTTTCGCAGCCAGTCTTTTCACTGCCCAATGGGCTTTTGAACTGTGTGGTCAGGGTCACAAGGATGGAGGTTAGGAGTAGGATCAGCAACATTAACTGCCACTCACCAGTCATGACTGAACTACAGCCACTGCTGAGTGCCCAACTTGCCAGCAGCAGAAACCAACACTGAGTCCACAAGATGAGATGATTCCTCAGGGAGATCAGCCAGAATCCTGGTGGCAGGTTGATTACATTGAACAATTTTCATCATCATATAAACGGAAATGTTTGGTTTTTACTAAAATAATCACTTATTCTGGGTATACATTTGCCTTTCCTGCATGAAATTCTTCTGCCAAACTACCAGACTGTCTTCTCAACTTATCATGGTATCCCATACATCATCTTGGATCAAAAGATTCATTTCACAGCAAACGAAGCATGGCAAAGGATTTCCTGGAATTCACTGGTTTTACCCAACTCCCTACCACAATGAAGCAGCTGGTTGGAGAGAATGATGAACTGACTAACTTCTGCAGCTGTGTTTTGGTTCTCCAGAGCCAAGCCAAAGAGGGATGGTATGCTCTTGCAAACTTGATATACAGTCCGTGAAATCATGA